GAATCAGAAATTGATTTCGATGAAGACCCATCATCTTGGTCAGCAACCTGGGGACCACCACACCAGCATGGCAGGAGGAGTGTGAATAATTATTCAGGTGGAGCTGTGGGCAAACTGTGGCAAACAGTTATAGCATCTGTCGTTGAACCTGGAAATGGACAAATGAACTATTTTTCCATCTCCTGGATCTGAACAGTTACATCCTGTTGTCACACAGAGAATTTCGTCTCGCTCTTGTGCGGAACATGCTGGAAGGGGTCCACCTCGCCATCAATGGCCCAGGGGTCGAACCCCTGCCGTTTTATCGGAGATATCTCGATTATAGGAGGCCAAACTACATCACTGGCCGACTTCCTCTACTTCGCAATTGAGGTGTCGTGTGTGCTTTTCGCGTGGGAAACGAAGAACCGTCTAGACAATGTGCGTGAAGTGCGACGTCGGACCCTGGATTTCCGGATGTTTCCAAGATTTCGACACGAAGCCAACTTCCGTTAGACGACGCAGGTAGGAAGAGAGACAACTTATAAAGCTGGTGACCAAAAATCATGTAAGTAGAAAAAGAATTTATAACCTAAAATTAGATTTTAAAAAGCCGGCCGCACGCGTGGACTGCGCGACGACATATGGCGTCATTCATCCCCTTGACTTTATTTTCATGACGCCATATGGTGTCGCTCGACTCTTAAAGGTTAAGGGCATTTTTTTTAAACAGGCTCTTGTGAAGGCAGTAATAAATCTTTAGGTTACACAAAAGACAAGGAATTTACTGACAAGCTGAGTACCTGTATGCTTTTCATGGAGGAATGTACCTCATGAAATTAGGGAACCTACTGAAAAAATACAGGTACATGAAATATTTCACTCTGGAACCATTCTTTTTCACTCAGTTATAAAATCACCATTAATTTTCTTGATGTAAGATTTTTATATGTTAGTAAGAGGAACTCCCATTTATGCACAGAAAAAAATAAGCTTAAAGCTACACTCTAATTCACGTCAGCACTTGAAGTGTTATTACAGGACCCAAAGGAATATTGGTCTTTCATTTATACATGTGTTACACGGTAAAAACACCTACAACCTAGTGTTGTCAAAAGGCTTCTATGACGTATATATGTGACAGAAAATTAAGTGTACATGCAGAGTACGCATCAAACATATTAATTTTAGAAGTTTCTGTAAAGATGTATATTTTCAGTCAAAACAAATGGAATCACATTATCAGATGGAAAACAGTATGATGAGGAAAAGGGCACACATTCATTAATCAGCTGATACTTACTTCAACAGTCTCACCTACTTCAATATCTTCATCATCAAATTCCAGTTCCATTTCTTCAGATATTTTCTTATGCCATGAACTCAAATCAACTACAAATAACAGAAGAGAACAAGATTCATAATCTTACTGCATATATTACAACAGAGACATCAATCACTCTGACAAAGTTCTCCTCTTCAGTTTAGGTACGACTTCTTGCAATTAAATTTAATCATATAAATGCTCTGCTAGATACATACGTGGGTTACTTCAAAAGTCATGGCAACTAATTTTTTGGGGGGCAAACATGTTACAGTGAAGAAAGTTCAAAATATACTTAAGAAAGGGCATGATATACCCCTCCGACTGGCTTAGTCAGATCAGGTAGATGTGAAGGGGCATAGGTATAGTATGCAAGAAAAATTGCACATTACGGAATGACTGCTTTTTTTTTTCATTCTCTAATCCTCGAAAAATTCAACTGTAATTAAAAAATAAAAAATTCAATATGAGTTAAATCTGAATTCTTACATTACGACTAGCAACCTTCAAAGTAGTCTCCAAATGTATCAAGTGTATCTTCCTCCACGCGCTGGGCGATCACGGCACGAGAAACATCAGTACGAACGGACACAGGGCGTCTACTACGTTGCAAGTCGGCACTTGCTTCTCTTCCATGTTGGAATGCTTCTATCCACCTTGCAACAGTTCTGTATGGTAGAGCACGATCACCCAGAGCTTCCACAAGCTCTGAGTGACATTCAGTCGCATTTCTGCCGCAAAGCACTGCTATTTTCATGTAACAATGCTGTTCCAGCTGGCTAACGTTCATTCTCAATGAAGGTTATGATCACACTGACTTCGCACTGGACTCGCTTCGTTGTCCTTGGACTTCCACATCTTCTAGCGGCATCATCAGAAATCAGACGTTGCTGTCTCTCAGCGACAAATTTGGAAATTCCAGTCGGAGCTTTTGAAATTTCGGAAAAATTATGTTGCCATGACTTTTGAAGTAACCCACGTATGTATGGACTGACAGGTGAATGAATGCATCAAAGAAAGCCAATATACATGCACAAAATTATAAGCAAAACAAACATATCTGTTGAAATAATGTAATATATGAAAAAATAAAACATCAAGTTAAAGATGGAAGATGAAGAACCATTAGTTTATTTACTTAAGAAGAGAAAAATTTACCCAAATATGGCTAATCCATGGACATGAAAAAAAAAAGATTCCATGACTGTGTTTATTAAACTAATTTTAATTAAATACAATAGGAACCTTTATTATTGACGATACACTTGCAAGCCTCGAGTAGTATCTTTGCTCCTTCAGCTGCCATTCGAAGCTTCCCTCGTCTACGACGAATTTGCAAACCTTAAAATAATAATAAAAAAGAAAGAACACCAAGGTAGAAGCCTTGTTTACTGCATAAACATAAACTCCTTTTAGAAACCATACTATTATGATGTGACAGACACTTGTGCAAATGGAAATTATATTTCATAATAACCTAAGATCTAAAATAAATGAATTTTCTTTCATGTATCTTGTTCATGGGCAAAGGACAGAAGAAAATAACATATGTAAGATTGATAACTTGTAAAAAATAAAAAGCCAAGGTATATGTATAATCTGAATGTATTTATCAAATTACTTCCCTGTCTCTTAATTTTGAGTTACTTTAACAACGTGCACTAATTGAGAGTTGCTTACCAGCCTTGTTCTCTTGGTTGCCTCTCAGGTTGTAAGCAGGGAATGAAGTGAAGGTGAGAATATGAATGGCAGGGTACTTCTGTTGGAAGTAATGCTTCCACGCAACAACCAGTGGAGCTGGTGCTAAGTCAATTTTATTCAAAACCAAAATCATATCCTTGTGCAGCATCTCTGTCACATAGTTGTAAACTGATGGAGGAAACATGAGTGCCTGCAATACACATAAGTACGTATAAGAGTTAACAATACCTCACGTAAGATTTGAGGTTTTCACGGCGGTGACTACAAAGAAAGCAATCTTCTGGGATGTGGAACCGTGTAGATATTGTGTTAACTGATGTTTCGGATGAACATATAGCCTTCATTTTCAGGGTAGAAGAAAAAAGAAGAAAATCCGCAAGTGAAGAACCAGCATGAGCAGGTGCAAATGGTCTATTAGTCTATTAGGCGATCCAGTCCTCCGAAACGTCAGTTAAGACAATATCTACATGGCGCCACATCCCAGAAGACTGCTTTCTTAACACTACATCATGTTCCTATACAAAGTGCATCAAATGAATACATAATGTTGAGTCCACATCCATTGAAAGCTGTCAGATAATTTAATTTTGTGAGATTTGAGTTCTTATGGATGTGACCATGAAGATTAATCAATGTCTTCTGGGATGTAACACCGTGTTGTGGGATAGATGTTCACTGGTGTTCTTCTGAAATCCTGGTAAGCATCTACCAGACCACACGGCTTCACATCGCAGCATTTAGAAAGTGATCAATTTACTTTGGGTTTGGACTCGTAGAACATAAGCCCTAAGTTATGTGGAACTTAAACTTTATCGCTTATAGCGATTGTCTTGTGTAAATGAAATGGCAGGGTGAATCTGGAAAGTGAATTTCAAAGAAAAGGGAAGGGAAACATGGATAGCCAGCACTAGTGTGAAAGGATGAAGAAAATCAAGGAACTCCTTAGTCAGGATATTCAAGTTTTCATATACACAGAATACCAACATCAAAAAAGTTACACATGAATCTATTATATGCTTTTATCGTGACTAACTGCAGGCCCCTTCTGATACATACATATACTATGTTACATTCCATGTACCTAAAGTTGGTCGAAACTGACTGTAGAATGTGGAATGTGTCATGAAAAAAAAACATACATGTACAGTAAAACTGAAGCTTTCCCATAAAGAATAAAAATATAAAATACATGGAGGGTTCATATGAGGAATACATCAAGACCTTCCACTTACACTATTTATACAAACCACTGAGTAGATTATGAATCATTTTTGGATAACAGGAATTCATTAAGAGAGTAGAATGAGTGTGTACTTAATTATCATTTTAGTGCTACTTTAAATTGCGTCTTTTCATATATAAGGATTCTGAAATTAGATGATCGATTGTTGAAAGTCTGTCTGAAAACATGTATGAACTTTTCTGAAAATGAAAGAGGCTGGAAACTGGTCTATGAAGATAAACAGATGTCTAAACGAATTTCTACATTTGACACCCACCATGATTTTAACATTTTCTTTTATAATATAGGGTAATATCCTCTTGTTGTTTGATGAATGACCGAAGAAAATTATTCTATATTTCATAATACAGCAGAAACAGGCAACATAGATTTGAGAGTGTTATCATTGTTGATGTGTAACACGTCTATCTTCATAACATACTGCACTTAACTTTGGAGAAATCCTCCCAACTACTATGACATCCTACATTTCTATAACCAAGTACACTTTGTAATTAAGGTTCTTTGAGGTATCCTATTTGGGTCCATTTGCAGAATATTTGAATGTCATACCTTATTTCCTCCTGGCTAAAAATCATTATTGAAATTACAAAAGCAGGGTAAGAATGCATTCATCCTTATACTCTCTCCACATATGTTCTATAGGCAAAATATTCAGAGAAATTATTTCTGAAGTAAGCACTTACACAGTAACGTATGTCAACAATGATGAGAACAATATCAGACATCTCGAGTACCCTCCACAGCTGTCTCCATGTCTCCAGATTCAACTCAAAATAACTAAGCTCTTTCCAGCTGAATTTCTTCTCTAATTCTGAGATATATTCCTGCAAATAGAAAACAATTTCCTTCAACATTGTGCATGATGTGAATCATGTATGAGGAACTGTTTCAATAACATATGAAATCAAGATAATAAAAAAAAAAAGAATGTTGGTAAATGTGTGAGTTGCATAATTAGTAATGGTGTATCAAGCACAGACTTTCTGTGCAATTAAAGAAAGTTTAAGCACTGAGAGCCAACAGGAGCAGGAAAAGAAACAGTGAGAGTCCTTTTTTTAAGGTAATGTTCTATCATTTAACCAGAAATGCTCTAAAATATTTTAAAAACCAAGAGGAGTAGAATAACTGTCAATGAGTAAACTTAGAAGTAAAAAAAAATGTATTACATATTTTATTACAGCATGCTAGCAGTTGCCCTGAGGTCAAAACTTACTTACTTATTCATGGATCTGAGCCCTTCTGGAGAAGCTGCCAATTCTATAGCTACTCAAGAATTTCCCAGCATTTTATGGAACCCAAAGGTTCATTACCGTGTTCACAAGAGCCTTCCACTGGTCCCTATCCTGAGTCAGATCAATCCAATCAATACCATCCCATCCTATCTCTCTAAGATCCCTTTTAATATTGCCCACCCACCTACACCTTGGTCTTCCCAGCGGTATCTTTTCTTCTGGCTTTCCCACCAATATCCTATATGCATTCCTCGCCTCCCCCATTTGTGCTACATGCCCTGCCCATTTCATCCACCTTGACTTGATCATTCTAATTATACCTGGAGAGGAGTACAAGTTATGAAGCTCCTCATTATGCAGTTTTCTCCAACCTCCTGTCACTTCATCTCTCTTCGGTCCAAATATTCTCCTCAACACCCTGTTCTCAAACATCCTCAGTCCATGTTCCTCCCTTAATGTCAGAGACCAAGTTTCACACTCATACAGAACCACAGGCAAAATTATAGTTTTGTATATTCTAATTTTTGTTTTTGGACAGATGAGAAGACAAATGGTTCTGGACTGAATGGTAGCAAGCATTACTCCAAGTTCAATCTCCTCTTAATTTCCTCCTGAATCAGGTTTCGAACTGTTATCATTATTCACAAATATCTGAACTGCCACATTTTCAAAACATCTGTTTCCTATTTTTATATCATGTTGCACTGCATTTTGGTGACGAGACAGCAACATATACTTAGTTTTGTCAG